CATACATATACTCATGCATATACATACATCCATATATACATACATACATACATACATACATACATACATACGTACGTACATACATACATACATACATACACATATGCATATACATATACGCATACATATACTCATGCATATACATATATCCATATATACGTACATACATACATACATACATACATACATACATACATGCATGCATACATACATACATACACACACACACATACATACATATATACATACATATAATATATATATATATATATGTATATATCGTCATAGAGAAACTATATTGAGGAACCATGAGGAATAATATTCAGATTGTTCAGTTTGTCAGCAGCTCGCCTGCATGATTCTATGCGCAATGTCGAACCCGCCACATGACTGTAGCGAAACCGCGCGATGCGACTTCATCCTGTGCCTGACCATGACGTCTACGACAGGAGTCATGAACCATCATTCGGAAGAGTGGACTGCAGCAGACTTGTTGTGATGCGAAGACACATGAAATCTACCAGTGTGGTACTCGTAAACACCGGGAGTCATGTCGAAAGGCCCAATATTCACCGAATATCTCTAAACATTTCCCACAGACCGTCAAGCTGAACAGCACCCACGCACACCAAGAGACTTGAAGGCTGTGCACCTCCTGCCCTGAGTGCAAAAAATGCACATGAGCTACGAAGTATGGGATTATTTCCAGCCCAACCTCGAAGACCCCAAGCAGACAAATGATACCCGATTTGGGGTCTACAGTCCATTAAGATGTGCCTAGTTTGGCCTATTCGGAGTGTTAGAGAGTTGCCAACTGCTTGCCGAGTTGCTTAGGGCAACGGCAGTCTTGCTGCTGCTCCGATGGCGGCCGATGATGGCCAGCGCAACCCCTGCAGAGCACACGGAAGAGTGACCACAACTTCGAAAGGATCCGAATAACGTATTTTCTAGAGTACAGAGGAGCCATTCTACTATAGTCCGAAATACTACTATGATCGGGCCCTTGTATTGCTCAAAATACGGACCGTGTACAAGGATATTACTTATGCCTGGTTACTACTTAGCTTATGCAGACACCTCTGCTGCCAGGCACGCTTGGTCTCCAGTAAAGTGTTAAACTTCTCGGCTACAGGGCTAGGGCGGCTAGGGTTTAGAGTTGAGGGCTACGGGTTTCGGGTTTAGGATTCTTTGAGTTTAAGAGGCTACAGCTTGAGGGTTTAGTTGAAGGTTTTGGCTTTGGGTCCGGCTTCGTCGATAAACCTAATTAACCCCACGCCCGGATCTCTTCACCCTTTAGCTACGAATAACAGTCACACCACTTCTTCTTCCGGTTTCACGACAAGTCTGCCATCGATATGGGTTTAGGGTTAGGGTTGGGCTCGAAGCTGACGTCCCTTGGCACAGCGCTCACCGGTCCTTTGTCGCTGCCGTCTTGCGCTGAAAGAAAGCATTTCCCTCACTGTACATCCTGGAGGGCGAAAACCCTACTTTCCAAGACCAATGCCAAGTGTTCATGCTGTCTCATCCGCGAAGCCGGCATAGTTCTACTTAAACTGCCTAAACTACTACCTTCAACTCACAAAATATTAGAGATCCATGAACATACTAAGAATGCAGATTTAGGTCAGTAGCTTGAACAAGCACGAAAACCCAGACTCTGGTGTAGAACAAGCCTCTGAAGGTTATCTGGGGTCTTGAGTGATACCCCTTAAAACCTACTACCCAATCTCGAAACTCTGAAGCCCCTTCACGCCTAAACTATATACGTCCCCCAAAGCCCTGAAACAAGACCGTGGACCGTAAAACCAAAAACATCGTCCAAAGCCTGCCAAGCTGCTAAAGCCTACACCCTAAACTCTTCGCCCACACCCTCACACTAGCTTTGGGTTTGCACCTTTACCGTCCCATCCCTACACGAATCCGAAGCAACCGTGAATGCGCCTGTTTTCATCTCATCACGTCGTCTTTCCTCCAGAAACGTTGAGGGTGAATCCATGACACTAGCTCTGGTTTAGGGCTGTGCCGTAGTGTCGACGACTGCTCAAGGTTTTTGTGTCGCTGCTTTCAAGGTGTGAGCAAAATTTCTGCCGAAGCACCCAAAAAGCATTGAAGCAGGCTTTTGTGTAGGAAAGGTCCTACAATAGACCTGGGTCCAAAAGCACCCTGTAAGCCATAAGTCCCAATCCCGGGCTGACATAGCAAGGGCAACGTATACGATCCTCACAAACATCCAAGAGACACGGACAAAATCAGCACACCCCGAGCCGAAGACACAAAAGCTCCGGAGAGCACTGCCGTTGTGGTTTAGGGGTTTAGGGTTTTTGATGTCGGGGCCTTGATAATTACAGTAGGGTTTGGGAGGGTATATTGTGCTAGTAAAGTTATGATACCGAACCTAGAGGAGCAAATATTGGTATGTATTCCCTCTTCCATATTAATAAGTAGAGTAGGGTTTGGGGTATTTTATGCTAGTATAATTATGATACCGAACTTAAAGGAGCAAATATTGGTATGTATTCCCTCAGCCCTAAACCCTAAACCAAAAGCCCTAATCCTGACGCCTGGACCGAAGACAAGGGAGCCTAAGCCGCCCTCACGACTCTTGACCTCCGAAACCGCTGAACCTGAACCCTAGACTCTAAGGCCCTATACCCCTAAATCCTAAAAGCCCTAAAATCCTAAACCCTAAACGAGCCTAAAGAGCAACTACCTCCGCATTCGCTAGGAGCTCCCTTTGCCATCAAACTACCCGTCTGGACCTCGAGCCTGATACCCCTCCACGAAAAGAACAAAACTACTCTAGGGGGGGGGGGGGCCTTAATAATAGAATAGGGTCTTGGGCTCCTTATAGTATAGATATAGTAAGGAGCCCCCAAGATAATATAGGTAGTTATTGAGGGTTTTTATATTTTTGAATGCCCGAGTATGTAGGAACCTGAGTGAGAAACCCTGGTCCTTTGGCCCAAAAATATTAGGATCCATATACAGGACCCTAACAAAGATTCAGGGGTTCTTAACCAGGTTCCTAGGTTATACGTTTGAGTTGAGAGGTTTAATGGGTTGCTTAGGGCGCAGGCCCCAACCCTAAACTCCAGTACTAAGACCTCTCAAAACTCTCGGACTAATAATATAGGGGCCTCAATACATTAGCATAGGGTTTTGGGGCCCACTATACTATAAATGTAAACAGGAACCCTCAAAAAAAGTATGGGCAAATACTTAGGCTTCTGTATTAGGCCCCCCCCTTGCGCCCTTGCGCCCTTCAATTCCCTCCCATTAACCTCTACGTAAGGGTTTAGCTCCCACGCTTCGGCGAAGCAACCGGAGGGCCCGAAAAACCCTGAAAAACCCATATATAGAGGCCTAAATAAATCGAATAGGGTTTTGGGGCCCACTATACTATAAATATAATAAGGAACCCAAAACTAGTATTGGTAAGTATTTCGGCCCCTACATTAAGCCCTAAACCCGAAGGTCCTCCCAGCATCGAGAGCAGAGGTCGAAGTCGCAACGTGCGCAACGGAAGTGAGTCCGATGCTCGTAGCCTGAGAGACCCCTAAAGCCCTAAACCCTCAAGACCCTCAACCCTAAACCCTAAAACCCTAAAGACCCTCAACCCTAAACCCTAAAACCCTGAACCCTAAACCCTAAAACCCTAAAACCCTGAACCCTAAACCCTAAACCCCAAAGCCCTAAAGCCCTAAAGCCCTAAAGCCCTAAACCCCGTCTTTAGAACCGTAAGCTTCCGGGTTTGCCTTAGATGCTGAGTTCATATGCACGAAAAAGTGTACACTTGCAGTTTTATAGTGGGTAATACTATCCCACAAACTGCCAGGCGTAAGCATCACATCCAGCTACTAAGTTAAGGCTTAGTTAGGGTTCATGTCAGTACGGTTTCGGGTAAAGTTGAGGGCGCCAGCCTCTCCGACTTGCGGTGGGCTGCATCCTATATAAGCCCTAAAGGGTTTAGGGGGTGGGGTTGCGCAAACGATCCTAGCAACGATTTTTAATATGACTAGAGGTTATGCTGGTTCAATTAATATGGTACCTAGGACCCTCTAACTCTAACTTTGGGACTACAAGAATTAAAGAGTCACGGTTTCTAAGATGCCCTTTTAAACAAGACTCGACATAGTTTCAGGGCACTTAGGCTTTTTTGCCCCCCACCCCTGAGGTGTCAGCCCTCCATCTACCCTCTATTCGACCCTAAATACCCTTAATTGGGACCATATACCCCTACTTGGAGGGCCTTGGAAACTGATTATGAAATTGTTCTCTTCCGACTTTTCTCTGCGCTTTGAGTTTGAGGGTCGGGGGATGCCTGGGTTTCAGGTGCAGGGGTTCGGGTTGTACAGCATGTGGCTACCCAGGGGCTCCGATGTAGTTCCTTTTTAATTGGGTCTGTTATAGTTTTGTGGTAAGGAATTACAGTATACTATCCAAAAAGGAACTACATAGGAGCCCTTGAGTATACTGCATATATGTTATATGATGTGTGTCCGGGCTTCTGTCTACGTCCGCCTGATCGGATACATCTTGCTGCTTCAGGTTATCACTTCCGTCACCTGTCTGCTTTGTGGGTAGTTCTCTAAATAAGAGTCCCTTTTGGGTTCCTTTTTATATGGGTGCCTACCGCTCTGGTGACCTAAGGGGACACTGATTTTTGGGAACTGCCCCTATGTCTCAAAACGGTTGCAAATAAACACGCGTCGAATGTCACAACGTCACATGCCTGGGCTGCGACGAGTGAACTCTGCCTACAGTCTCCATCGTGGCCTTTTTGCGGTTACCTTGCAGGATCCGACCCAAAACCCAAAACCCAGAACTCTAAACGATAAAAGCTTAACCCCAAACCCTACCTGTAAGAACCCTAAACCCGAGACCTTGGTTTGCATTCCGTGGCTTTGGCTGGTATGAGGCACTCGACCGCTCGGTCTTGGGACCCTGCGGGCTTGATTACTGGAAGGTATTACAGAAATGGCCTTAAAAATAGGACCAGGGTTCTGGGATCCTCTACAGTATACTAACAAGGAACCCCGACAAACAACATCGGTCATGATTTAGGCTTCTGTATTCGTAATTATGCAGTCCTCCTTCTGGTCTTTGTCGCAGTCGTCGTCGTCATCCCAGAAGGAGTACCCTAAACCCAAAACCCTACTATAGGAGTAGTGCCAGAGAAGCAATGGCGGTGACGGGACCAGCCGAGTAGAAGCCACTAGGCGTATCTGCGCTCCATCAAACACCCCCCACGAACAAAAAAAAACAGTAGAAGATCGAAGAACTGTTCTATAGAGGTCCTTTCGGGGTACTGTCAGGGTAGTTCTCTAGATTAAGATCACTTTTTAGGTCCGCCTTTTATCCCAAAATAGTGCGGCAGCCTTGTAGAAAGGAGCCTGAAAGGGACCCTATTTAGAGAACTACCCACCAACGGCATATGTGACACTGAGCATCGCACAGAAGTCACAGGAATTGTTCACCTGCAGGCTTGCAAGTGGTAGGCAGCAATGACACGGAAGCTCATGCATCCCGAAACCCTAGCGCGAGACACCAGAATCACCCCTAAATCCAAAACCTTAATCCTGACACTACAAACCGTAAACCTAGACCCCACACTACACCACAAACCCAAAACCCTGGGACCCTTAACCCAAAGCCCTACACCACAGACCCTAAACCCTAAACCATGCACCACCAACCTTAAACCCTACACCCCAAGCTCTAAACCCAAAACCCTAAACACTACACCACAGACCCCAAAGCCTGAACCCTAAGCGGGTGCACAGGCAACTCCCCCGAAGGGAACTGAGTTCTTCAGACCGAGGCATCCGACAGAAAGGGGACCCTAACATAGTGTCGCAAACACCCTTAGGGTTTAGGGTTTAGGGCCCTGAATACTGTAACAGAACTCTTTCATCAAACCTTATACAGCCACATTTTCGCTTGAAGCATATAGGTTCCTTTGTACATATGTATCAGGTACACCCACCTCCTCTAAAGCAGTACGTGCGGTTGATGTTAAATGAAAGCATAGTTCCTTGAAGAGGAAGAAGATATCGTTCTTGAGCCAAAAACGTGCACTTCCTTTAAAACGGTACCGTTTCTTTAAAGAAAAGGGTATAACTTCATTGAAAAACATATACCCTATATACCCTGAACCCCATACCCTAAACCCTAAACCAAAAAAATCCTAAACCCTGAACCCCCAAACCCTAAAAAACACCAAAATCCTATACCCTAAACCCCTAAACCCTAAACCCAAAAAATCCTATACCCTAAACCCCTTAACCCTAAACTCGTGTAGGATCCGAAATCCCACCTGCAGGTCCGAGACGAGCCGGTGTCCGGCAGAGCACGCCACCGTGACCGCTGCATCATCTGAGGGCTTAGAGTTTAGGGTTTGG